ACCTTTGGATTATGGCCCCATGTTAAAAGACTTCTTTTCCCTTGCAGAAAAGGCTTATTCGTGCCATTCTGCCCGGCGGTCGGTAGATTCAACTCACAAATGACTGGACCACCTGGGAGCTGGAGTGTGTCGGCAATTACCCTCCCAGAAGCTGCGGTTAACCGAAGTTTAATTGACGAATGCTGGGTGGCCTTTGTTCGGTTGCCGAACACGTGGCGGCGGCCATTTTAAAGTCCCGAACGGCCAGCGGTGTTCAGCGCCAAAACTGTGGAACTGAAAATGGACACTTATTTGCGCGAACACCGCTGAGCCGTCAGCCTCCTTGCTTCTGCATTTGGTCAGTTAACCGAATGCCTGTTCATTCAGTAGTTTAAACCGTATAAACAGCATTACCCCAGATAGCCATCCCGTGGAGTCTATTCGTATGGAGAACAGACTTTGTGAACACTTTAACTCTACGGCGATTGGACTGTGTGCATAGGATCTGAGCGCTATTCGGTACTTTTGTGCGCTCAGATTCCAGCTATCTGGGGATGGGTTGCAAGTATATATTTTGTGTGATAAATGTAATATTGTGTATTTTATTGTGTTTTAGCGTTTTACTGTAACCATGTGGGTAATGGAGTTTTGCCTCTGTCCTTGGAGATAATTGGATTACTTCCCAAATATCTCCAGGATAGAGGGGAGGAATTGTAATGTATTGGGGGAGTGTTTTAACCATGTCTGCTTGTGATTGGTCATTGTACTATTTGTGTCCCAGTCTCCCATTTGGTCCCCTAGGGGAGTGTCCACCAGGTGTGAGACCTGCATAAATACTGGGCAGGTAGCCCTCATTAAAACAGACCACTACTTAACCCTCAACACGGAGTTCGGTCTCGTTCTTGGGGGGGATTTACTGTATGCTGATAGAGACTGATTGCTAGGAGTGTAAGCCGCTTGGGTGCTTTTCCTATTCAATATAAATAGAAAGATCTACAGAACAGAAAAAATAAAAAACTCATAGAGTAGTATAGCCAAAATACATCAAATCCCTGCTAATTTGATTGCACTCACAGGCATAAATTGATAGTAGACATATCTCAATAATGAAGAGATGGATGGAAAGGAATCCTCAGCATAAATACATGGACATGTAGGAGAGAAAATAGACCGCAAATAAGTGTAGATGGTAAATAATTTAACCCTGCACTGTAATCAGTTACACTTACAAGCTAATATTGATATAGAAGCATATCATAAGGTATCATCCACAGCCATCCTCCTCCAATTGATGGTAAATGAACAAGGTAAGAGGAATACCGTGATTAAAAACTATTTATTAACATAAATTAAAACAAATAAATAAATAAATAAACAAGCTATAATAAATAAGCGGACTAAAAGTTCTCTCTACAAACATCCAACCCTACGCGTTTCGTCCTCTGTAGATCGGACTTCCTCAGGGGTATCAGGATCTCCCGTGCAGCTCCCGTGCAGCCTGCAAGTCCGATCTACAGAGGACGAAACGCGTAGGGTTGGATGTTTGTAGAGAGAACTTTTAGTCCGCTTATTTATTATAGCTTGTTTATTTATTTATTTATTTGTTTTAATTTATGTTAATAAATAGTTTTTAATCACGGTATTCCTCTTACCTTGTTCATTTACCATCAATTGGAGGAGGATGGCTGTGGATGATACCTTATGATATGCTTCTATATCAATATTAGCTTGTAAGTGTAACTGATTACAGTGCAGGGTTAAATTATTTACCATCTACACTTATTTGCGGTCTATTTTCTCTGCTACATGTCCATGTAGTTATGCTGAGGATTCCTTTCCATCCATCTCTTCATTATTGAGATATGTCTACTATCAATTTATGCCTGTGAGTGCAATCAAATTAGCAGGGATTTGATGTATTTTGGCTATACTACTCTATGAGTTTTTTATTTTTTCTGTTCTGTAGATCTTTCTATTTATATTGTATTACGAGGACTGGGAGGAGTCCTATTTTCTCTACAGTTCGGAATTAATTAGGTATTTGTATACCTGTTTTGTGTGTTTGCTCCTTTAATTGGTGATTAGCGTGTTTTGTATATCTGCTTTTCCTATTCGTCTGCTAGCAGCTATTTGTGAGGTTCCAGTTCGGGAGTTTGGAGCATTCCCCGAACATGCGGTTCGGGAGTTTTGGTGTTCTGCAGTAGCTGTGCCTGTATCTCTGGAAGGGGAAGATCTTCTAAATGGCGGTTTAACCCTTTTATGCTGAGGGTGCCGTTACACTATCGTCCTCCCCCCTGGCCCCCACCCCTGAGTGGCGGGTGGGGGCCCTAAATATCAATAAGGGGGGGACCTATTGTCCTCTCCCCCGGCCCCCACCCCTGAGCGGTGGGTGGGGGCCCTAAATAAAAATGTAACCCCCCCAGGTGACTAAGGGTCCCCAAAGCCCTAGTCACCCCCCTCCCAAAAAAATATAACCCCTACTTACCCCCCTCATCCTAAAAATAATGAGGGGGAACCTTATCTAAATACCTGTAAAAAAAAATAAAAAAATTTACCATTTGATGTCTTCTTTCTTCTAAACAATTAGGCAATTAGGCTCAGAGCACTCTGATTGGTGTGTTTAAGCCATCCAATCAGAGTGCTCTGACAAATGAAGAGACTGACAGGTAAGTCTCTACATTTACCTGTCACAGCACTCTGATTGGCTGGCTTGAAATCCTTATTCTAACTTAGGGCCCCCACCCACCGCTCAGGGGTGGGGGCCAGGGGGGAGACAATAGGTCCCCCCCTTATTCTAAATTTAGGGCCCCCACCCGCCGCTCAGGGGTGGGGGCCAGGGGGAAGGACAGTAGGTCCCCCCCTCATTCTTATTTAGGGCCCCCACCCACTGCTCAGGGGTGGGGGCCAGGGGGGAGGACAGTAGGTCAAGGCCCCCATCCGCCATGCAGGGGTGGGGGCCGGGTGGGAGGACAGTAGGTCCCCCCCATTGTTATGTAGGGCCCCCACCCACCGCTCAGGTGTGGGGGCCGGGGGGAGGACAGTAGGTCCCCCCCTCATTGTTACATAGGGCCCCCACCCACCGTGCAGGGGTGGGGGCTGGGGGGGAGGACAATAGGCCCCTTATTTTACTTTAGGGCCCCCACCCGCCGTTCTGGGGTGGGGGCCAATAGGTTCTTTTTTTTTTTTACAGTGAGCAGCCACTGACAGGTAAGTCATTTACCTGTCACAGCACTCTGATTGGCTGGCTTGAAATCCTTATTCTAACTTAGGGCCCCCACCCACCACTCAGGGGTGGGGGCCGGGGGGGAGACAATAGGTCCCCCCCTTATTCTAAATTTAGGGCCCCCACCCGCCGCTCAGGGGTGGGGGCCAGGGGGAAGGACAGTAGGTCCCCCCTCATTCTTATTTAGGGCCCCCACCCACCGCTCAGGGGTGGAGGCCGGGGGGGAGGACAGTAGGTCAAGGCCCCCATCCGCCATGCAGGGGTGGGGGCCGGGGGGGGAGGACAGTAGGTCCCCCCCATTGTTATGTAGGGCCCCCACCCACCGCTCAGGTGTAGGGGCCAGGGGGGAGGACAGTAGGTCCCCCCTCATTGTTACATAGGGCCCCCACCCACCGTGCATGGGTGGGGGCTGGGGGGGAGAACAAAAGGCCCCTTATTTTACTTTAGGGCCCCCACCCGCCATTCTGGGGTGTGGGCCAATAGGTTCTTTTTTTTTTTTTTTACAGTGAGCAGCCACTGGTTGCTCACTGTTTACGAGACACACCCTACTCGCGGTATAGCGAGTAGGGGCTGAATTTACTAATACTAAGTAATCTTTACTTAGTATTAGTAATTGTGGCTGAAAGACCAATTTAGGTCTTTCAGCCTTTTAGTAGATAGCTCCCTAATACCGTGGGAATTAGGGAGTTATCTACTAAGTGGCTGCTTATTTTATGTTATTTTACGTTATTTTAAGTGATTTCCCTATCCATATTTGTTTGCAGGGCACTTGTCCTACTCTTACCCCCACTTTACTTCCTTTTGCAGAGCAGTTTTTTTGCCCAAAAGTTCGGGTCCCCATTGACTTCAATGGGGTTCGAGTTCGGGGTCAAGTTCGGGGTCAAGTTCGATCCTGAACCCTGACTTTTTTGCGAAGTTCGGCCGAACCCGCCGGACCCGAACATACAGGTGTCCGCTCAACTCTACTATTTATCTGTTTTATCATACCTTACATACTACACCAGAAGTCTACTGGTTTCCCCACTTCTTTTTTGTTTCATATACCATATTTGAGTGAACAGAAGAGGGGATTATGTCACCTAGTACACTTCTGCCTATATGATCTGAGCCGGTCCTGGAAGGCTCATTCTCATGAGAGTTGGACCAGTGGACACCTACAGTCCACTTATACCCCTGACGTTATTACACTATTAGTCCCTTTTTTTCTCCATTTTACAGCTTAATCCCTACGTCCCAACAAAGGGTAGTTGTATCCTATATTACACCTTACACGCTCCACTTCTCTGGTTGGCATATTGTACACCTTCCTGTTTTTGATTGTTTGCTCTCATGTGTGGGGTGGAATAAGGGGATATGTTTATATATATTTTATATATTTTTATAACTGTACCCAAGCACCTATATATTAACAGAGCACTTTGAGTTTTTTTAAATGAATGCATTTGTTGATTTTATATATATACAGTCAGGTCCATAAATATTGGGCCATCAACACAATTCTAATCTTTTTGGCTCTATACACCAACACAATTGGTTTGAAATGAAACAAACAAGATGTGCTTTAACTGCAGACTTTCAGCTTTAATTTGAGGGTATTTACATCCAAATCAGGTGAACGGTGTAGGAATTAGAACAGTTTGTATATGTGCCTCCCTAAGTCACAACAATAGACAATCACAGTCTGCTTAAACTAATAACACACAAAGAATGAAATGTTGCCATGTTTTTATTGAACACACCATGTAAACATTCACAGTGCAGGTGGGAAAAGTATTTGAACCCTTGGATTTAATAACTGGTTGAACCTCCTTTGGCAGCAATAACTTCAACCAAACGTTTCCTGTAGTAGCAGATCAGACGTGAACAACGGTCAGGAGTAATTCTTGACCATTCCTCTTTACAGAACTGTTTCAGTTCAGCAATATTCTTGGGATGTCTGGTGTGAATCGCTTTCTTGAGGTCATGCCGCAGCATCTCAATTGGGTTGAAGTCAGGACTCTGACTGGGCCACTTCAGAAGGCGTATTTTCTTCTGTTTAAGCCATTCTGTTGTTGATTTACTTCTATGCTTTGGGTCATTGTCCTGTTGCGACACCCATCTTCTGTTGAGCTTCAGTTGGTAGACAGATGGCCTTAAGTTCTCCTGCAAAATGTCTTGATAAACTTGGGAATTCATTTTTCCTTCCAGGCCCTGACGCAGCAAAGCAGCCCCAAACCATGATGCCCCCACCACTATACTTCACAGTTGGGATAAGGTTTTGATGTTGGTGTGCTGTGCCTTTTTTTCTCCACACATAGTGTTGTGTGTTTCTTCCAAACAACTCAACTTTGGTATCATCTGTCCACAGAATATTTTGCCAGTACTGCTGTGGAACATCCAGGTGCTCTTGTGCAAACTGTAAACATGCAGCAATGTTTTGTTTGGACAGCAGTGGCTTCCTCTGTGGTATCCTCCCATGAAATCCATTCTTGTTTAGTGTTTTACGTATTGTAGATTCGCTAACAGGGATGTTAGCATTTGCCAGTGACTTTTGTAAGTCTTTAGCTGACACTCTAGGATTCTTCTTCACCTCATTGAGCAGTCTGCGCTGTGCTCTTGCAGTCATCTTTACAGGATGGCCACTCCTAGGGAGAGTAGCAGAGTGCTGAACTTTCTCCATTAATAGACAATTTGTCTTACCGTGGACTGATGAACAGCAAGGCTTTTGGAGATACTTTTATAACCCTTTCCAGCTTTATGCAAGTCAACAATTCTTAATCGTAGGTCTTCTGAGAGCTCTTTTGTGCGAGGCATCATTCACATCAGGCAATGCTTCTTGTGAAAAGCAAACCCAGAACTGGTGTTTTTTTTTTTATAGGGCAGGGCAGCTGTAACTAACACCTCCAATTTCATCTCATTGATTGGACTCCAGTTGGCTGACATCTCACTCCAATTAGCTCTTGGAGATGTCATTAGTCTAGGGGTTCACATACTTTTTCCACCTGCACTGTGAATGTTTATATGGTGTGTTCAATAAAAACATGGCAACATTTCATTCTTTGTGTGTTATTAGTTCAAGCAGACTGTGATTGTTTATTGTGACTTAGATGATGATCAGATCACATTTTATGACCAATTTGTGCAGAAATCCATATCATTTCAAAGGGTTCACATACTTTTTCTTGCATCTGTGTTAATTGTAGATTATGTCCATCTTTTTTTATTAGTATCATGCTTTTGCTTTGGTGCTAATCTTTGTGGGTATTTATTATTATTATTATTATTATTATTATTATTATGTGTTACTGTGGTAATTTTAGGTCTTTTCTTTTTACCTTCACCTTTTTTTCAGGTTTTTTTTTCATAGTGTAAAGAGGATTTGTGGACGCTGTTTGATCATTTTCTTTCTTCTAAGTCCTGTTGAGTTCCATAGTGTTATTTAAATTCTGTTTTTCCTTATTTTTGTTTCATCATCAAAGAAAGATGACGGTGTTAGAGAGGTCCTGCCCTTTATTTTATCTCTGTTTTCTGATTCGTTGTTTCTTTTTACTGTTGATGTTGCTATTGGTGGTTACTGTAACTACTGAGAGTATAGTAAAATATTCTTATTATTTTAACACCAAGCCTTTAATAAACTACAATCTTAAAACAATATACTTCATATTTTGCAGTTTTAAAGCTCAGATAACAGTGACAATGCCAAATGATCACCGTGCCAAAAATAAAAAATACAAAAAGTAGCTTCTTGAGACCTGTCTACTGCCTTCATAATTCAAAACATGGAGTCCCTGAGTTAAAAGCTGTGGATGCCGCTGAATTAGCTGCAATTGAAGAAGCAACAGCTGTGGATGAAAGATGCCAACATGCTCACCCTGCCAAAGTTGCAGAAGAAATGGGAGTAAATGGATGCACATAAGAAATAAGGAGTTGTCCTGAAGCAGAACTCCAAAAAGAAGAGGTGACTGCAAATATGAAGTCATGCAAGCCACAACACAAAGTTTTGAACATGAATGAAGTAGAAGGCATCTTTGTCCACCTGGACAAGGAAAAAGTGACACACATCAGTAAAAAGAAAAAACATCCACATCAAAAGCATGAATGTTGAACACCAAAATGAAAGGGAAGCAAATACAGGACTAAGGACAGTTTAGGCCAGGCTTCCCCAAACTTCGACCCTCCAGATGTTGCTAAACTAAAACTCCCATGATTCTATGAATGAAAAGGATAGGCTGAGAATCATGGGAGTTGTAGTTCAGCAACATCTGGAGGGCCGGAGTTTGGGGAAGCCTGGTTTAGGCAATAGTTGGCAAAAAGATAACAACAAATTAAAAGGCCAGAACTTAAAAAAAGTAAGAAAAATTAGATGTCCTAAAACTTTGAATACTTAGGTAAAGGTGGACTAGAGCGACAAATACCACAAACCAAAGGACTCCTACCAACTAGAATGCCCTGAAGAAGAATCCATTTTAGTATACCAGAACAAGAAAAAAGCAACACTTGTCAAGAAAAAGAAAACGCATCCATGTAAATGTCAGACACCCAATGTCAGACACCCAATGAAATGAAAGCAAACACAGCATTAAGGACAACTTTAACAAAAGCTAGCACAAAGATAACAGTGAATTAAAATGCCAGACCTTAGTTCCTCTTCATACACCAATCACTCCAATGTTGCCAGGTGTGCACATGACTTTATCTAGTATTGCGAGAGGGAGACTGAGAAAGGCTGACTGAGAGACACTGAGGGAAGCCGACTACGTGTGCAGAGAGGCAATATTAGATGAGGCAGTACCCTCTGAGAATTGGTGCCCTGAAGGCAGCTCTTATACTCGGGCAGCAAGAGCAGCAAGACATGAGCAGAGGAAACTGCTATTCTTCAAAAAATCTTGAACCAATTTGTCCAATGCAGTTTCAACTTTGAAGCAGGCCTGTGTCTTCACGCTTTTCATATGTTTGAAGTATCCCATATTGAAGAAGCACTTCTTAGAGTTCTCACCTGTTTCTAGGGATATTCTTTTGTACAATGTAAAGAGGAGTGGGAAGGGAAATAGGGGAGAGGGAAAGAAAGAAAAGGAGAGAAAAAATCAGGAGTCCACAGGCTAAACAGATAAAAAGAAAGACAAGGAAGGAGGAAGAGAAAGAAAGGAGAAAAGGAGAAAGAAAATTAGAGAAAAAAGATAAAGAAAAAACTTTCCGAATACTAAACTCCCCTCCCCCCAATATGGCTACAAAAAGAACAACAAACAAAAAGAAAAAAAGAAACCAAAAATGCTAAACCCGAAATTTTTTCCCCCAATTTAAAATAAAAATCCATAAGAAAAAGACACATCTGATATATCTATTATGTTGACAGGTGAAGATGAAGAGGAGGAAGCTCCAGAAAATGTAAAATAATTCATAAAACAAAATCTGGAAATATAATTGCAAATATTAATGCTCGGGATTAACTAAAATTCCAAGGAAATTAAACAAGAAATCAATAATGTGGCTGACAGATTAACTACATTGAAAGAGAAAATCAACTCCTTTGAGCAAGATTATACAAATGCAGCTGATAATATAACACAGCTGAGAGTAAAAACCATGGATCTGAAAATAAATGATCTAGAAAATAGATCAAGAAGATCAAATATTAGGATTAGAAACATATCAAAGGAAGCTGAAGCTAATAATTTAGAGGCTTTTGTTATAAGCTTCTTAAAAGAGCTTTCATTGGAAACAGACACATTTGAATAAAAAATTGAGAGAATACACCATCTACATAGAAGTGAGTACACCCCTCACATTTTTGTAAATATTTTTATATCTTTTCATGTAACAACCCTGAAGAAATGACTTCTTCTCTGCTATAATGTAAAGTAGTAAGTGTACATCCTGTATAACAGTACTCACTTTTGTTGCCAACGGTTTAGACATTAATGGCTCTGTGTTGAGTTATTTTGAGGGGACAGCAAATTTACACTTTTACACAGGCTGTACACTTACTACTTTACATTGTAGCAGAGTGTCATTTCTTCAGTGTTTTCACATGAAAATATATAATAAAATATTTACAAAAATGTGAGGGGTGTACTCACTTTTGTGAGATACTGTATATACACAGACCCTCAGCATGTGGTCTTCAGCATAAACATAGGAAAACACACCCGAAAACCCCCCCGGAGTCTCTGTGTCTGGAAGATAATTTAGTGTACTTTGCTTAAACGAATTATCTCCCAGAAACCAGAGGTACAAATCATAAAACATAAAATACCCTAAAATACATATGACACATAGGAGGACCCCCACAAATATTATATTCCTGGATAGCCTGGATCTGAGCACCAGACATATCCAAATAGCGCTCAGATCCCATGAACACCGCCAAATCGCCGCCGGTGCAAAGTTTTGACCACCCGCACACTAAATCAGTTCTAGAGAATTAGTGGTAATGGTGGGTAAATTCCGTGAGTCCCAAAACTAACAAAAAGATGAGTGGTTCCCCAGGCTTATAGGTAGCGATTCGTGCGAACAATCCTACCGAACAGCACTCTACTGGCTTGTCGTGGAAAGAAGCAGGCGTTCGTGTTAATTTGCCGGTGTTCGTGAGGTCGAGTGGCCGACTTATAGTTCCAGACACCCGATGACCAAATCCCGCTCCCTGCTTTCAAGCGACAAGATGGCTGTAGTTTTCTCCAGCACGTGTTGTTATACGAAAGGTGGCCACACATAGAGATGACTTGAGTTTGTGGTTTCTTTGAAGTTAATGAGCCAGGGGGTGGTCGGTGTTCAGTAGATCTACTGAACACAGGGAAAGTAACTGGGTTGAATAAAAGTACAGAGTTTTGTCACAATAATAATTTAGGTAATTATTATAAGAGAGAATTTGTACAGAATTTCACACTCGAACATATAGCGAATAATGCATTTTTATTATGGTACTAAAAATACTTTGGAATTTCTAAATGGGGAATTTGATTCTGTTTTTAAGATGTCTCTCTCTCTCCTTGTCCTCCCTTCCAGCATGCTTCACTTGGATAGCAGGGAGAGGGGGGCATCTCTCTTTTTGTTTTTGTTTTAAATTAAAATAGACACTAGAATAAATAATGAATAATATACAATTGGTATTGCACTCAAACACTTTTTTAAAGTCTCTAAATGAGTGATGTGGCCCCTCTCTCCTCCCTCTCTCTCCTGGCACTATACGTTGGGTGGTGGGG